GGAGTAAGCAACGACCACAGCCTGTGCGTTCTAGACAGCAGTGTTCACGACTGCACTTACGCCCCCGGCTAAAAGCTGGACCTTAAAGTATCCGTGCAGATCAGGGAAAGCTGCATTGGCGTTTCGTGACACAGCCGGTCTCGGTTTCTGCACAGCGTGCGTTCCAATAATCTAAGACAACAAGGGCCCCGTGCACCTTCAAATCTAGGGCACCAAGCCTACGAGATAAGGCTCCCGTTGTTATTAAGGCTTGCTGTCACTGCTACGTCCAGGTTGCCCAGAAAGAATCACCCAGTTGTTGAGAACGCACAAGCTGAAGATGTTCATAAAAGTCGAGTACGAGGAGTAAAGCTTTTTGCGCTCTTGGACGAGCGACACCAACTGTGGGTGAGGCCGATACCATCGACGAAGACCAACGAATCAGTGATTTATTTTGACGGGGGATGTGAACATAATTTTGCAACTATTTTAACGAGAAAGTACGTGACAGGCGTGAAAATATTTTTATGGTTTATTTTGCTAGAAGTCTTCGAAATAGTAGATCGTCGATTGTCGTCGGTCTGGTTCTTCTTCTTCTTCACTCCTTTCACCTTCATCTTCATATTCATCTTCATCTTCATCTTCATCTTTATCTTCCTCTTCGTGTTTTCGTCTTCTTCATCCTCCTTTCATCTTCATCTCTTCTTCTTTTTCTTCTTCTTCTTATCATGATAATTATCATTATCATTATCATTAATATTATTATATTACTATTATTATTCCTGAGGATGCTGAAATAATGCGCCCAGCCTTGAAAGAAAGCATTTGAAAGCATTTGAAGGAAACTTCTTTGAGTAACTTTTAATCTGTTTGGTTAGTGCTTAGTGATGACGATTGGGATAGTTATTGGGCCGTTTTTAAAACAAAGAGCGAAAATCACGGACAAAGAAGGCAAGATTGTTGCAATATGTCAAGAAGAGACCTCCCTTAGCAAAAACAGGCTGTAGTTAAAACATAGTTGAAATATATAAAATATGCATATTAATCCTGTATTCATTCGCTCCACATTCGGAATTCGCGCGTAAGGTATTCAAAATATATTATAAATATTAATCAGAAAAGATTTCAGATATACAAAAATGTAATACATTCCTCCTCAAGATGCCATTTGTGTATTAAAAACCGGCTACACACTTTTTATATTCTTTTTATTTCGGATTTTATTAGTAAATGGTGTCCCTGTGGTATTTGAAGGTACAACCACATACATCCCACAACTACAAATTCGAAAAGAACACAAACACCTGAATCACAGTCCCGTTGACAGCTCCAGAGCCTTATATAGACTACATATTGAAGTTAATCATTTGGCTGTTGACCACCTCTCCACTTATTAAGGTTCCAAGTATTCGGTCTTTTTGTCGGGAGTCTGTCAAATAGAAAACAGTGTTTTGAAGTTCGTGGACGATATCTCTTACTAAAAAGCATTGTTACAACCAACAATTATTCGGCGCAGTCGCTGAAACAATATCCACAAAAACGGCGACTAGAAAAAATGTAATTGCTTCTTTGCATAACACCACTCAGGACGAAGCGAGTCACGGCAGTTTTTTTTTCATTTTAAAATAGTCATTTTGCTTTTCTTTACTAGTTGACTTGCTTTTCTTTACTAGTTGACTATTTAATATGGTCATTAACGTAACTATATTAAAGTCGGTACTCACATCACGTACAATGGTGAGTATACACATTCAGTTAACTAACATTGTTCTAACACAACCCTGGCAAACATATCTGCTCACAGCACTTGCTGAAGCTTTGCAGAATCAGCAAGTGTTATGGTTGTAGTTCCCGAACCCTGCTTGTGATTGGTGTGCAAGAAACTCATCAAATGTGTTCTTGATAGAAAAATGAAAACAATAACATAAACTGGGCTGATTTATCAGTGCGATGCTGTACAACTCAATTGACAAACTAATCAAATGTTGTATTTATGCACTTCAGTGTACCCCACATCTGCTTGAAGGGAACCTCTCATAGGGAGATAGAGTATAACACAACATCTCCAGGATGTTAACAGTTTTCGATCTCCAGGAATGTTAACAGTTTTCTGCACATATTTTGATCGCTGCATTTTTATTAGGTTTGAAGTATATTTTGCATAAAATAAATTAATCTTTTAATGAATCAATGTAAAAGGCATTTTGTGCCTACTAATTTAGAATTTACACATTTCAGAACGTATGAAGAGTACTTCAAATGGGAGTTTAAATAAAGGTATTTGTAAACAATTTTCAGAAATATATTTTAGTACTAAGCAAAAAAAAATAAGAAGTGTATAATTTCGGTATATTTTTTGTGCAGTACCATTATGAACTGTATTTGAAATACACTCGAACTAGAATGTGTTATATTTCAAACGTTTTGGTTTTCGCTAAAGGTTGACACAATGATTCTTCGCTTATTTCTTTTGTGATATGACCGTGGGCTTGGAAACGTGTTTTGTAAAAGACGCCGTACAAAATAGCATATGCTACAGGGTTGACATCAGTATATTAGAAGCGCGATACAATGTTACTTCATTTGTTGATGGGGATAGCACCTTTTATCTAGAAGTGTTTTATAAAACACGTGAGAGAATGTCCGAAAAGGCTGACTGACGGCATAACGACGAAACAAAGCAAAAAGGTAAACAAACCTTTTGGCTTCGTCTGGTGCTATTTTGTATTACAATTCTCTGTTTGTTATCTACAAGCACACACATCTGTCACCAAAAATGTTAGAAAAACGCTCGAAGCTCTTTCTGACAGTGCCGAAACAACTTTTTTTTTTACTGCCATTGCTGCTGCGACACGCAAGTTCATCATGTTTAGCCTTGTCAGCGTTCATGTGTAAGGCTTCTTCTATGCTCGGAAATTATTCCGAGCATCGATAGAAAACGACGGTGATCACGAGCCCCCCCCCCCCCCCCCCCCCCCCCCCCCCCCGCCCCGGTGTCACGATCGCCGTCAGTAATTCCCTACTCCCACCACCTGCATTTCCCACCCTTCACGACGCAACATGAAGAAATAATAAAATATTTGTGTGGTATGTATGTTTATAAAACTGGAAGTTAGTCAGCCTCATTAAGCGTTTGGTGTCTTACCGCCGAATTCAGAAACCTCACTCAAAGTACACTCAAACTGAAGGGCCCCTCCACTTCCTCGAGAAAGGCGCGAGGGCCGGCACTGGCCAATCGCGAGGACGGATCCGCCGTCGCGATTGGCCAGCGCCGGCCCTCGCGCCTTCCTCGAGGAAGTGGAGGGGCCCTTCAGTTTGAGTGTAGTTTGAGTGAGGTTTCTGAATTCGGCGGTTAGTTACTAATTACGCGTTTGGTGTTCAGACAATTAATCGGTGTAGTACAACCGCTCACCCGGGTACTTTAACGTGCATCACGCCGTAGTGGTACGCGACCGCACGCTGGTGCGGCGCACATCCAGATCAAAAGGGGCAGGGGTGGGAATTGAACCCAGGATCGCTGGGTTCTGCAGCCCGAGCTTTCGCTAAAACCCTCCGAGCCGCGGTGCGTTAACACACGCGGCCACTGATCCCCCGCCAGGTGAACAAGTCACAAGTTACGACAAATGAAACCTTATCGTAACAATTGGCACGTGAACAAGTTACGACAAAGCTGGTAGATTATCCTCAAGTGGCGTTAAATGTGAACTTTCCCGTGGCCAATTTGGCTCTGATGACAAAATGTCCAAGGTCGCTAAAACGATGGACTAATGATGTTCAGTAAAGCAGGCAAGCACATCCCTGTGTTTCCTAACAGAAGAATTAGAATAGTTGGGGATAGGCATCTATTAAGTTGGAAGCAGGTTGATTGCTTTTACACCATGTGTTTATCCCCAATTCGGGTGTTTTCGCAGGACGTCTGGACCGGTCAAGTAATTGACAGTCGACAGTTAGTTCGTATTCCTTCGGCTGTGGCTGGGGGCTGCAGCTTCAAAGGTGCGACGACAAGAGCAGATATGTCCATGTTCTATCTGCGAGGTTAACCGCTAAAAGCTTATCATGTTTGTTTGTTTTATCACTTTTAGGACGTACAGACAAAGACTAAAAGGAGATTCCTATTTTATGAACCTCGAGAATTTATTCCTAAGCTAAACGTACTTAGTGAAAATAAAATAAATTCTTTCTAACCGCCTATACCACGAACTAGAAGATAATTATACCTTGTTGCGACTTTCCTCAGGCGCAACTGCACTTATAAAAACACAGTTGTCTTCAGTTAAGAAAGGACAAGCACGCAGGCGAGCTGGTGAATGACATTTATAGTAACCCTGAGACATAGGAACCATAGAAAAAAACGAACAGAACGATAGATACTCTCAATGGAGACTTCGTTGATCTGCCCGCTTTTTTTATTATTCCTGCGTCTCAGAGTTACCATGGATTCCTTCAGTTCTATGAAAATTGAGCGTGTCGGAACTTTGTTGTAGATAAACACTATCTATGAACCAGAGGAGAAAAAAACAAAAATAGCGTGTGAACAAGAAATACTTAGAAAATTCCTATGTTTTATTTGCATGATGATATAATAAATAACGCGAAAGAGAGGGCGCTGTTGATTACAGGTGAATCGCTAAGTTATGTGGAAAATTGCGCTTTAGACAATGGATTATACTATATTTCTTTCTAGACTCTTTTGTACATGGTACAATAAAATGTCATTTATGCAAAAGTTCCACCATTGAGCCGGGGTCACACTGCTTATACACCATACAAAAGACAATCTGCATACAGATTCAAACGCGAGTCACCACGAGATCCGAGCTCCGAATGCCCCATGGCAATTAGTGTAAAGAAAACTTAGCACGCGGCATTCGAACCACAGATAGTGCGGTGACTCGCGTCCGCATGCCGTATTTTGTATGATAGCGTCGCTCGATTTACAACCACCATCTGCACCGGTGCAGAAAAGTGGAGGTAATTCGAACGAAGCTGATGAATGGCTAGTGTGATCCGGGCTTTAGGCGTTAAATGTGACCGTCCAGCTTCATAGAAAGAGCGAACGTCCGAGGACAATGCCTTCGTGCTGCCGTAGCATACACAGAACGGGGTTCGGCGATGACATCCGCGCTGTTACTCCCGTAGACGTGCATGATGTGACTGTCGGCCGATGCGTTCCAGACCTCCTCGGCATCGCTGTCTCTGAAGAACTTACTATGCTGGCTATAGTTCAAGGGCAGAAAGTAGCGCCTGGGAAGCAGCGTCACACCCTTACAACTCTTTTCCACCATGTCCTCCACGACAGTGGCGTTGCACCAGCGCAAGAAGACGCTCCTCATCAACACCGGACCGTTCTGACCCCACACGTGAGGGTTGTAGTTGGAGACAAGAGTTTTGATGCAGTCGCCAAGGAAAGGGTGGTACCGATCGAAGAAAAGAATGCCGTTGGCCACCATGTCGTCCATTGACTGGACGAGGCTGTTGACGAAAGCGCCCAATTTCACGAGCACGACCACGTCCAGGTCTAAGTATATGCCCCCGTGCATCCAGAGGAGACCCAAGCGAAGAGCGTCGGAGAGGTGAACCATCTTGTAGCGGCTCTGTTCGTAAGCCTTTTCTTGTAGCCATAGCCCAAGCGAAGAGTTCTGTTTTTCGGGAGGAAGAGTACCTTGATACAAGACAATGATACAGCTAAGATTGATTTCGTATCATCGAAACCCAGTTTTACACGTATAAGTCCGCAATTTATTTTGCCAGTTTTTATTGCTGAACCAGTATTTCACTGGTTAAGCAATAAGATTATACAAACTGTATTTTATTCCTTTGTTGTTGTTGTTGTTTTTTTTTTTGTTTTTTTTTTTTGTTTTCGTCTTTACATTGAATTCAAGTGAGAATATCAAGGGTTTTAGTAGGCCTTCTAGACTTGAATAATATCAAAACTGAAGATATTTGGAAGCAGGCTGCTAGCAATATATAAGAGCGATGAAGGCAAAATATAAGTGCAGACATAGGTATTGCCGAATGGCACCACACGTCGAAACAGGGAGAACAAACTAGCGCTGCATATTACATTTGAACTTTAGATGACCTCAGCGTAAACTAACAGACGCACTGTACGGACTATGATATTGTCACAAACGAAAAAAATACTATGTAAGACTGAAAATAAATATTTAATTAGGTGAACTTGTGCCTACAAACTTAAACAGAAAGATACCAGCGTCTTGCGTAAGAGGCGGAAGGGTACCGTATTTTCCGGGCTATAGTCCGCAGACTATACATGTTTAAAAGTTGACATTTCTTGCTGTGCGGACTATCTACGCGTGCGGACTATACAGGCATTATGTTTTTCAAGATCGTTTATTATGACGAGACGTGACGAATTTTGTGCACGAAAGTGTATGTTAATGATGATTTATGTACATTGTAGGCTTTATTGTGAGCTAAAAAGCAGACATTTGTAAACGTGTGCCGTCTATGAGAAGATTTTCGTGTCGACTAAGCACCAGGTGCGGACTACGCACCGGGTGCGGGCTATGCACCGGGTGCGGGCTATGCACCGGGTGCGGGCTATCTAAGCAAAATCTTTTATTTTTGACCCCAAAATTTCCCCCTGCGGACTATACACCGGGTGCGGACTATAGTCCGGAAAATACGGTAATTGTCCTGGACAAGCGCCTTGCCGCTTCTTTTATACACGAGGAACGTACTAGAACGTTTTAATCCTGAACACACGAGGACAACCGAGAATGAAATATCCTCCCTTCTTCTTGCGCCAAACAAAACACGAAGATCGTTGAAGTTATTCATATCCTCAAAGCCTCAGCAGACGTTTTGCTGAGTTTCACTTAACCTCGGCAAAGCTTCGACCCACCTTTGACGGGGCTTCTGCCGTTTCAAGAAGCATGTGATATATACCATAATTAACTAAATTAAAAAGGTTATTTAAAACCATAGAAGATGTGGCACTGCTTTCCTCAAAAACGTCATGTGAGCGTGACTGACCGCGTACGTGCGCCTATTGGCAACTCAGACTCTAGAACAGCTCCACTCCTTCACGCGTACGGGAGTAGTTCAGGTCAATTTATCTGCTGTTGTAAAAACAAAGGTTGGCATCGGTGGCTTTCGTGGACTACAGATGCATCATGACCCGCGTACCGTGTACCCTTGAAAGCATCGCAGACATGTTCTAATTATATAACGACTGAAGGAAGCATAATGCTTCCCTTTAATGGTTCTGAATTGTTGGTCACGCTTAATGTTAACTTTATTTAATTATGATTATTATTTGGGTGGCCGAAACGTCGGCGATTCCCTAGAGACGGGAATGCCAGTCGAGTAGCGGCAGCTTTTATTAATTTGTTTACTCATTCATTCATTCATCTAGTTCACAAAACCTACTACCCGGTCAATTGTAACAATAAAAATAGCAACAAAAACAAATTCACCTATGATTCGTGCACTATAGTGAAACATTTAGCGCGAACACGACATCGTTGCCTTTTTTTATATTTTATGCATTAAATTTAACCCTGTACGTTGCGGCTCTTAATGAGCGCATTCTTTCGTTTTAGTAGTTTTAATCCTCTTCGTTCTATTATTTTAAAAAACAAAAAGCCATAAAGGTGATTAATGTACTCGAGGCGCGTTTTCCATGGGACAACAAAAACACAGAGCTGTCTTTATGTTGTATTTTGTTGTCCCTCGGAAAACCGCAGTCCCGGGTGAATTCGACATGCTCAGCCTGCACCACCTGACTTGCACCCTCGTTCTTTGGCGGTAAATGTGTTCGTTGTTTTACAACAAGTCCAACCGCCGCCAAGGCTACGACCCAATGGGACCAACCAAACATCGTCAAAATTGCACCGTCATGGTGCCGTGCCTTTCCTCTATGTACGTTCGCTGTCATCGACTAAAACAATCTCGCATAAAAAAAATTAAAAAAACCCACATGATCGCGACGTGTGCGTCATTGGTTCAGCCGGGAATAATGAACGCACAAAAATGACGAGTACCGTGACGACAAACTCTTGCCGCTGCTTGATTGGCTCCCTTGGATCGTACCGTCGGCCATGGTCGGACTAAGTTTCAAACGGAGTATACTGTAACCTTGCGCATTTCATAGGCTACGCGTCCAGGTTTCCAGGCTAGGTGGCGCAAGCTACCGCCCGTTACAGAGGGTATACAGCCGTTAGCATCCATCCATCCATTCGTGCATTTTGAGGCTCTTTGGCTACAGTGTACTTTGGCATTCGCGTGTTTCATACATAGAGTTATTATAATGTACGCTAGAGGTTCAACTGGCGCTAGTGTCTATGCGACTTCCGGGAGGCAAATTGAAGCAGACAGCAACCAGTCTACTTTTGCGGTGCTCCTGTGCATTCCTATGGGAAAACGCGCGTGCATTTTCTCTCTTCGCCGTAAAATAACATGAATAACTTTTATTATTTCGGTTGTACCGGATAGTATGTACATTTATTAACATTGTAAAAGTGCAATTGCTTTAATTACAGCATTTTTCATTATCACTGAGCGATGTTAAGCTTCGCTATATTTCAGGCCCAAACCTATGTTCCATGGCAGGTATGTAAAGATAAGCGACGATTCTAAGCAAACTAACGATCGAAAAGAATGTAGAGTGTGTTCAAGGTTCGCTAGCAAATATGCCCGTCCGGTCACTCTATGAAAATGACTCCGTCGTGCATCTTTACGACGGTTAAAACACATCAAACATTCGAATGTAAGAAATAAAGTACGTGGACTGCGAAAGGTGTGCCTTTTTATTATCTCCTATGCCGGGCAGTTTTTATCGGGCACCTGTTTTCCGACTTTTCCCTATTTGCAAATATTTAGAGCGTGCAGTTGATGATTTGAACCCAAAACATGCATCTTTGCACATATTCATGAGCAGAAAGAATAAAGCAGTACTTATTTATTGCAAATCGGACTATATTACGTGGCTTTCAATTTATTTTGATCGCCTGCATGCACAACGAGTTACTTATTCAGTGTTACTGCGTAGTTCTTGCCGTCTCTCTTGGTTTTCCACATGTCCTTCGTTCGTTTGACACGTATATCCCCCATGGTGGAAAGCGCCGATGCCGTGTTCGCGCTAACAGTGTCCGACAGTGCACATAAATACATGTACGAAGCGGTTTTAGCACCGTTTTTCATGCCACGAATTTCACATAAAAACGCCGTAACTGACCAATTATTTCATCTGCGTGACTGAGAAATGTTCCAATGTGCCAGTACGTACGGAATATTTGTGATATTTGCTCTTATAATCGAGCACAGCGAGAAAATGCACTCGCTTTTTCCCATAGAAATGCATTACCGGAAGTCAATTTCCGACTGGTTGCTGTCTGCTTCAATTTGCAGCAGCACACTAGCGCCAGTTGAACCTCTAGCGTACATTATAATAACTCTATGGTTTCATATCTGATTTAAGCGGGCGGCCAACACGCGAGGAAAAGATATAAATGAGCTTATACACCAACTTAACTCTTTGAAGTCACCGCCACTGAGGCGGCGCTGGTGTCGGGACTGCGCGTGCACCGCCGTTTCACCTCGCGCGACTCTGGTGTGTGCGCAGGCGCGGTGCCCTCACACCACTGGGTCTGGGCAAACGCGGGGTCGTTCGAAGACGGCGTGTTGGTACATATACTATACCTGGAAGAATTCTTCGTAGCGAAGTCGCTGAACGTAGACGTTGGGTAGAGCGCCGAGAACGCTCAGGTAGGGGCTGGACGTCCACGGGGACCAGCCACCGTCCCGCAAGAGGCGCACCGCGTGCTCCGGGTGGTGCTTGGCAGCCGATTCGACGGCGCAGCTCGCGCGAGCCGAGAGCCTGCCGGTGCCCGAAGTCTCCAGGAAGAAGATCGAATCGTGCTCCGTACTCGACTCGTGCACATCTGTAGGAATGCAAGGTTAGTGTACAGCGAAGTATCGATAAAAATATTATGCACTGGCAGGTTTAAGAAAAAACACCTAAAATGAAGAAAAAAAAAGTAGACCGTATGTGTGACACTTTCTTTTTAACTTGCACAAAAAAAAAACAATGTAACACTATTTACGCCGTTAAACGCAATTTAGTTTGGGGCAAAGCCTCTGGGAGGAAGTGGCCCTGCTCTAAACCCAGCCCGGCGCTTAGATATCTAAGCACCGGCTCTCATTTGTTGGAGTGATGAATGACGCGTGAAATTTTCGATGTGAAATTGTTTCTCCGAACCGTAACAGTATTTTTATCAACAATATTTTTTTTTCTTTTATGTTTGAAAAACAAACGATCCAAATAGAGTCCCTATTGTTTCCAAAAATATCCCGGGATTGCCTTTTCGCTGAGGTTTCAAACGATACCAGACACGGTTGCCGGCTTTTGCGGCGTGCTCAACGAGAGTAGCTCGTCGAGCTCGTTCATTTTTATGAGTGCGAGTCGTTCTCCGCTCACCGAGGTGTTTAGAGAAAGGTCTTGTCAACCGACCATCCTTCCAGCAAATAACTTTTGCAAGTACGCGCCTTAAGAAGAGCTGTGCGGGTACCTGGCTTCGTCCCACGTCTAGCGTCCCACGTCAACTCTGTTGCTTGATCTGGCTCG